TTGTCTCTTGATTTTTGTTTTTGTTTTTACTCCTGCGTGACATGGCCGGGAGGACCCTCGTTCGCGTGAGGGCGCGCTCGACAGCGTAACTCCCCTGTTTGATCTGTGTTTGCAGCACAAAAAGTAGGTTGTGCATTGGTAGCCACAAGCCCCGGCTTGTAACCCTTGTCCCAGGGGTTGCCCCCATCCTTTGGCCCTTCCATACCTTCCGGAAGGGGGACAACCGCGGGGGAGGGGGTGGTGGGCTGGGGTATAAATTCCCAGAGTTTGGACGGGGGGGGTTTCGGAGGAGAGGCTTTGGGGGACGAGGGGGGGGAGGGGGTGAAGGAGGAGGCTATGTCCACGTCCTTTGAGCTCAGACTCCTTTCATCTGACTGCTCCTGCTCCCTTTCTTTCTCCCCTTGTTCCCCTCCCTGGTCAGTCCCTCGTTCCCCTTCACCTTCTTTTTCAACCCTTTTTTTCCATTCCTTTGTTTTGGAACAGTCACGTGATGATGAGGGTGTGTTCCCCGAGTTTCTTTTAGGTTGGTTTTGGGGCTTTTTAAGTTTCCAGGCATGATGACACGGGGATTTGTTCTTGGAGTGGCGGTCTGGTTTGTTCTTTGGGCCCCTGTTCTTAGTCAGGGGGTCAGGTGGAACTTCGTCCCTCATATCTCGCTCAGAGGTTTTATCCTCCGCGTGTACCACTAGGTTGCCTGAGTCCTCATTGTTTTCTGTGTCGGTGAGGTCTTTCCTGGGAGGGGTTTGCTCCTTCCCCTTAACATTCTCGTTGTTTGACAGAGCGGGAGGCTTGTCATTTTCGACATCGACTGAGGAAGGCTTACCATCAGTGTTGAGTTTGTTGCCACCTGCCTTTCGATTCTCCCCAGTCTTGTCGGGGCTGCCTGTGATGACTGCCTCTTTGAAGGTTTTTATGCGATTGGTGAACCTCATTTTGATCGGACAGTTGGCATTTGTCTCTGTGTGAAAGTATCTGCGACACTTTTTACACCACGGGGAGTCGGAACAAGCGACGTTAAGACCTACCCACCCGTCCTCATTCATATCGATGATCAAGTGTTGTTTATACCATACTCTGGCTGCAACTTCCATGTCGAATCTGACATTCCATAAGTCCGGGATGATTAGATCAGAAAAAGCTTTGTGGGTTTTGACAACCTTCCCAAAGGCTTTCTGCACTGCACCTTTCAGGTGAGGTAGGACTGGCACGGGCACTTGAATGGCCTTAACCCAGAAGTATCTAAACTTTTGGGCTTCGTTCCATTCATATAGTTCGTTTTCAGTCATCCATGGGTGAAATCTTACTGAATACATTTTCTCATCCAACTCTATTGCATCCGTACCCTTTCTGATCATCCATGAGGCTATCTCCTTGACGCTTGTCATGTATGTGACAAGGTTTTTCCCGTCGCAGCGGAATACTCCCCTTTTTGGGGCTAAGACACTGAGCTCCGTTGCGAGAGACCAACCTTCTTCGTATATACGTATCAACTGATTTCTCACCGAGGCTGGCAGAGAGGTTGCATCGTTTTCGAATTGTAATGAGACAGCATGCTCAGTCAGCCATTCCGCCTGGATGTTATAAAATTCTTGATTCACCACAACTTTGACGAAATCATGCCCAGACTCAACTATGCTAGGGGCAAACTCCTCTGGGAGAATACCCTTAGCATAGCAGTCCTCAATTATGCCTCTTATCATTTCTCTTTCGTTTTTGGAGGGACCAACATTTATAGGTAAGGACGAGGACATTTTCCGCATGCAAACGTGAGACTGATGGTAGGTTTTGTGATGTTGAAATGAATTCAGCGTAGCTGTGTCCCGCCCGAAAAATCCAGGTTGGGCCGATATATCACGGGAGTGACCCGGACCACTACAGCTAACATGTTCATCCACATACGACCCTGGTTTAGATGATTACTGCCCGATTATCTGTTCGACGACAGTTTCGAGCTCGTCATTATCCAGTCCTAGTGGGTGAAGTAGGCCAGAAAAAGGCTGTTCGAGTTTGATCGTTACTCACAAATACATAGCGGGTTGTTTTCCAGACTTATCTCCGTATAATAGTTTTCATCCATTGATAAGTCTAATTTTTCCTATGTCAATGAATATAGGGAAAGTCTTGTGCTCATGCATGCAGTTGAGGTAATCCTTTTGTATCATTTTATATGGGACGCTGGGCCCGGTTCCCAGCACGTGTTGCTCCCCACGAATAGACTGGAGCATTTGTCCC